TCAAAAAATGATCTTTGAATTACCTGCATCCTGTTGGTGAAATGAAAGTAGAATATTTAAAATTATTAGCTAAATTGACTCTTTAAACAAGATCTTCTTATTGATTTAAAGTCTAGAGTAAATTATGATAGAGTGAGCGTGCAAGTTTTAACTCAAACCCACTTTCTATATCATACTCCTTTGAATCTTAATCGAAAGGAAGCTGATCAGCCAGTCATTTACGAAATGTAAACAAACTAACGAGCATGATTGTGATATCTTCGGGCTTCAAGATTCGAACAGCCTTCAAAATCCCGCTACTAATGCACAACAAATTATTATGTTCTTCTTTAACAAAGGATGTACTATTAGAGTGAGGCATGTACGAAATTAAAATGAATGCAAATTTGAAGTGTAACAATCCAAAGACATTAAAAGTATTTTAAAATAAAAAATATAATTAAAGTGTTTCGGCATTACGCCCATGAGTGGTGCAACGCCATGAATGGGCATCACAGCATTGGAATCTCTATTCTATGATAAATTTGGATTTTGTATGCAGCGCCGTGTCTGAATTTCGTGGCTCTAGGCCACTAACCATACTTTTATATATGTTTTATTCTAAATATTTATGCCATTTCATCCCATTGCCTCCCTCACTCTTTATTTGGCTACGAAGAAATCAAGGGAGAACAGAGAGGAGGAAGAGAGGAGGAGAGAGAAAGGTCATCATGTGATTTTCGTCAATTGTTTCTTTTATGAAAATTATTTCACTTTACATCCTAGGGGCATGACATAAAGTCTCAATTTTCTACCTTTCTAGCATAACCTTTGACCATAACATTCCTGATCCCTTTGTTCTTAATACTTATAATTCCTCCTCCCGTTTCACATCCAACAAGCAAACAAGCTTCTCTTTAATGGCCAAGATGTCTATCAACGCTATCATTTCGCTCAGCCTAACGTCGCCCATGCAATCTTGCAAAATGATGCTTCCATTTATTAGACCGCTTCAAGCATAAAAAAAAATTGTATGGATAGCTAAACTTGGCCTCTTCTTTCAGAGCAATTATTACGTCCGGTGAAATCCGAACGTATCCGAATATAAACCAAGCAATACCGAATTTTAGGTGACGTGACGCGTGGTTATTTGTCTCTGAACGCATTCGATGACCGGACGTAATAGTTGCTCCTCCTTTCAATATAAAAGTGAGAAAAATCAAGGCTTTAATAAACCACCTCTCACAGCTAACAATTCTCTTGATCTTCCCACTCATGTTTGTATGGGATGTTAGATTTTGGGGAATATAGAAATCCATCTATACAAATTTCATCAAAGATCATGATATTAATATTATACATCTTCTTAAAACCAATATTTTTTTTATTATATTTTAGATCTCTTTACTTAAGATATCCCCTAATGAAAATATATATATATATATATATATATATATATATATATATATATTACAATCATCTCTTTTGCATTAGTGGGAAAATTTAGGCCAAGTGGAATTTTAAAAAGGTTAAATTCATTGCTATATCCTTCACCCTTGATTTATTCATGCCAATTTAGATTATTATCACTCCATCAACTTTTTTGTTTCTTTCATTTATGCTAAGAATTGTCTTGAGAAAATAGAAATACGTACTTTGGGAAGATATTATTGATATTGTTGATTATATAAGGTCCTTGGTTACTTTCATAAACCTATGAACTAGTAATTGCTCACCCCAGTGGAGCTCTTGATGTAAGAGCATGCCCTTAGGGGGAAGGCGTACTTATTTTTGGAAGGTAATATCAAAATCTTTGATTGTTCTAAGATTGACCCCAATATCTAGTTGGAGAAGTACTACAACAAAAGTACTTCTATTTTATAAACTATATATAGTCATTATTGAATGCAATAAAATAGAAGACTACTAAATCTTAATATAATTTTCTATATATCATCCAAAATATACACAATTTGAAGTATATCTATAACAATGCTTGACAGAAGAGAGAATAACAAAATAAAAGCTAATCTTGCAACAACAAAACTAACAAAAATATGCATAATTAGACTAAATTCAGAAATTATCAAAATGTCAAAACTGTAGGCAATAGAAACATTATTGAACAAAAATTAACTGTTCAAAATATAACCAAAATTTCAGAAATTATGTAAAACACATTTTGAAGCTTTAATTGAACTAAAATATTATTTTTATATATCAAAATAAATTTTTGAATAAAAAAAGTGCTACTTTTCAAAATCACTTAGTAAAATAATTTCAGAATTAATATGCTTAAAATAATCATAATCTCAATCTTTATAACATATTAAAAGTTATGAGATTAAAGTTTTACCCAAGCAAAATTATCCTCATTTTTGGATAGCAAAAATACAAATTTAATTTAAAAAATTTCAAAACATTATATTATTAAAAACTGAAGTAGACAAAACATAACCTACCTCGAGACAAACAAAGTTCCCATCGGGATTGACAGACGAAAATGTCTCTAAGGATGCCAAACCCAAGCTTTCTTTCTCTCCCATCTCTTTTTTTCTCGGATCCTATTTTTCATTCTCTCATTGGGGAAAAAGGAAAAAAGCAAAGTAATTTAATAAGTTCATAAGTGGTGGGATGAGATTTTTATAATATATTAATATAAGGGTATAAATGTAATAAGTCAAAAAGTTGAATTTTAAGAAAAAAATCTATACAAATCTTTATATCTTCAAATTTGGAGTTCCAAAAATTATGAAAAATATTCATAAATTAAGTAAGAAGATCTAGAATGCTTGGGTGAAATCTGTTTGCAAAAACGAACATGATCCTAGAAAGTCCACTTGTATCGATAGGTGCTAATTTCTTAAAGAACTTCATAAGTGTCCAAAAATTATAAAAAATTAATGAAACTAAAATAAAATAACATATATGTTATGGCGAAGATGATTTATGATTTAGAATTATAAATTATAATGACTCTGAAATAATTTTTTTTTGTGTGTAAATTTTTGAGTTATGTCATTTTTGATCAAAGGGCATGTCCATATAGGTTCGCACCATATGGGGCACTCGCTATAGAAGTACTCGCTCTCCCAAGGCAGCCAACATTTTGTAGATACCCTAGATTAAGCTACAAGAAGCTTACACTTATAAAATCTACAAACACTCATTAACAAAACTCATCCATAGCTTATTACCACTTCTCCTCATAGGACTTGCAATTTACTTACGAATATTCACCACTTTTTCCTTGGAAATCGCCTTTATAAACTTGTCTTACATAACAATCGTCGCAGACTTGCCCAAAGTACTCATTCCTTACCCAGGGTCACATGTGCACCACTTAGCTTAGTTCACATCTAATTAGTATAAACTTATCACATCATGCATATTATTTTTTAATTCAAAGTGCATTATTTACTATAGTCCTCTTGAGTCTGGATCCTATATATAATGAATGAATATGTTTATTTTGAAACATACGATGTTTCAATTATTAAGAAATATGCCCGTGCTTCTTATTTATTTTCCATACTCATTTTCTCACTCAATTTTTTAGCTATAATCTGTTAAAAGCTGTTAATAGGGTTGGGTTTCATCCACATATAATTTTGGAACCAGCAATTGCTGTCTTTAGGGCATCTCCAACCGAACGGCAAACACTTGTTTGCCGTTCTTGCTTTGCTCCAACCGATCTCCATTTTTGACGCCATTTGATCGCGGATGAACAGTGCGACGCCAATATTGGCATTGCACTGTTCATCTGCGGCATTTTTTTCTCTCTACCGAACAGCTTGGGAAGAAAGGCGCGAACGAAAACGATCATTTTAGCGGCAAAATGGCGTTGGATTGGAGATGAAACACGACATTTTTTTATTTCCCTGCATTTTGGAGTGAAAAATGACATTTTCGGTTGGAGATGCCCTTATAGTTGGTTAACTAATTAACGTGATATGTTGCACATTAAGGTATCTATTTCATGAGGTTTTTGGTAATATATTATGGTTAGAAACTATTCCTATATACTTATCATAAGTCAAGTCACACCTACTATCTCTTTTTTTTTTTTTTTTTTTTTGGAAAAACCTACTATCTCTTCGAATCACTGTCCTATTGTTGATAAAATTGGTGATTTTTTACAGCCAACCATTGTTGTTTCATAAAAACAATTGAAGCGCGGGCATTTTATAAAAAGAAACATGTTTTAAATTCAAAATAGCTTAAGAAGCAGTTTATTAAAAGAATTTAAAAAGAAAAAAAATCAGAACTGAAACCGAAATTTAATTCTCCGATTTCTACTTTGACCTTACTTTTAAAAGAATTCAGAACACAAAATTACAATTTCTCAAGAAACCAGAATTTCTTAATACTGGAAAATGCGCAAAAGCTCTATTTGCCTCTGCCATTCTATGAGTCTCTTCCTTGAGAATCCAGACTATCATTGCACAGTTTCTTAAGAAACAAATTTTTTGGTTTCCAAATTTTAAATAGAAAGAAAGTAATAAATTGCCATTTTATAAAAACTGAAATTGAAAATTAATTCCCATTAAAATTATTCTCATATAAATATTTAAGAGTTATAATAATATAAATAGAACAAGTAAAATGAATTTTATTTAATTTTTTAAAACAATCAGTTTTTAAAATTTAAAACATTAGAAATCGGAATTTAATATTATATTTTTTTAATTATACAATATTTAAACTATGATCATAAACTATTTTCAAGATAGGAAAATTAATTCGAAAATACTTATAAGATCTGCCACTGGAAGGAAGTTGCTCAGATTGTCTAGGGCAAGGAATATTGGGAGTGGAAGATGTCCCAGTGGCGGGTAAAGCTGCCTGATCCATAGGGTTAGCAATTAGGATCTATTGCCAGCAAAATGGGAGCAATAAGGTAAAATGGATAGTTTGAAACGGCGCTCTTTTTTGCTATTATTTATTGGCTGTTTTTTTTTTAAAATAAATATCTTGGCACACAACAAGGAAAACATAACGCAATTCAAGGGGAAAAAAAATAAAAGAACTTCGTCGATACGAAAACAATTGGCAGTGATCTGAAAGTTAATATGGTAGGGGTAGGACAAATATGAAAATGTTGCATGGGTATTCCTTCAAAAGACTCTTAACAAAAAGCAGCAGGCTCAACAAGGAAATTATCCGTTCAAAACACGCTTTCTCGGCTTATGTTTCGGACACAAGCGGAAAACAAAATTTGTAAATGTGGTAAAATTGTGAATTAACTGATCCGTAAGGTATAGATTTTGTAAGTTAATTGAGTCCGACGTCTCATGAAACCATACAACTCTTAGCCCTTTGATGGCCGCAACCTCGACTCTACCGCAACTGCCGCTGCTCTGTACCATGATGCCACGGCCATGGCTCCCGGATCAGGAACTAAAGCGAGCATTTCCGCTGATACATATGACGATCGGCCAGCCTGAGTATGTCAAAGACAGTTAATGTTCAAGAAAACAAACGGATTTAACTTTCAATTGAAGTAGATCCACTCCACTGTTTTCCATGCAAAAGTTCTAGTCGGGCATTTAGGCTTCGTTCTAGTAAAAAATAAAATCTTTTGTACTAGAAAGGTGCTTTAAGAAGCAGCAAAAAAACTGTCCAAAATGAAGCCTAAATTTTCAAATGAATGAACTTGAAACTATGATGAGTAGCATGAAAAAGTATAAAACATGGGAATTCGTTCCATGAAAATGATAATTTTTCCCTTAAAAAAGAAAATAATAGAAAAGAAAAATGTTCCATGAGACTATGCTGGAAGAAACTCTTTGGCCAACCTAGGATGAACAATAAAGAAGGAGAATTACTTGGGCCTGCATGTTTTTGGTTGATTCTGCTCCACTGCATGCTGCATCAGCTGACATGACAAAAGCATTTACAGGATCAACGCCTGCATCCAACCTCTGTAACAGCACGACAATACCAAAAGGTCAAATCATATCAGAGTAATTGGAGAAGGATAGTAATGGAATAGTATCTAACTTGCCTCTTTCAGGATAGATGCTGCTGGGATAAGAGCATCAAGCATTGTGCGATACCCAGAACCAGCTCCACCATATTTGCTTACCGCAGCAATGCCTGCCTCGAGAGCATTAGCCCCTAACCAAAAGAAGGACCCTTCTATTCAGAACTTGGGTGAAAGGCCAGTCAAAAGTTGGCACGAAACTAGTTCAAAAGCTACTCACATTCCTTAGATGTAATCACAGGAGAACCTTTCAAGCTTGCATAGGCTGCTTTGCATAGTATCTCATATCTGATAAAAGGAAGCAATGATAAATTAATCAAATAAACGTTCTGCTATGATCCACTAATGAGAATTGTGAATTGTAATGGACAAATCTCAAATAAAAATGGAATAAGAAAGGCTACGTATACAGTACAGGATTCCACTTGTTCCTCCCATCACCCTCCTAATTGACATCCCAATCTCATTTACAGTCCGTGCAGCATCATTCAGAGGGTAGCTACAAAACACAAAATTGTTACCAGACCGTCATACTGGGATGGATAAAAACAAGCAAAAACCATCATCAGAATTCCCAACATGTAAATGATATTTACTAAGCCCTTTAAATCTTACAATACCATAAACCATAACTTTCACAAAAACATTTCTACATCAACAGCATTGGCTGGAAACTTGACATGATCTATACATAGCTCAACATGTCATAGCGTTTAAAGATAAAATTAATTTTATTCTGAAACATGTCAAACACAACTTGACATGATCTAAACATAGCTCAACATGTCATAAAGACACATGCATGAAGGACGACCAGTTCGTGAGATATCAATACACGTGCAAAACATTTGACAATTGTTAATGATTAATGAATTCTAATGTTAAAGTGTTGCTAACAAATGACAATTGTAATATGTGATAAAGCTTTTTTTTTTATTAATAGTATTTGTTTTCTTTTTTGTTATTGTTAAGATTCTTTTGCAGTATATGCATATGATAATAAATATCAGCAGGTGATTCACTTATTAGAAAATAATACATAAAAATTCTAAAATAGTCCCTAGACTATTTATGTATGACCGATTTAATCCCAGAATTTCACGTGATCTCAATTTAGTCTCTTGACCATACAAAATTGATCCAAAATAGTCCATCATATTGCAATTGTGATATAAAATTAGTCTCAATTTAGTCCTTCGGTTTTACAAAATTGATCTCAATTTGGTCCCAAAGGGATCATTTTGGATCAATTTTATATAGTCAAATGGTCAAATTGGAGCAAAGTTATACTCTGAGACTAAACTGATCATATACGAATAGTCAAGGGACTATTTTGAAATTTAATCTGAAAATAATATAAATTACAGATTTTATATGAATAACATTATGTCCATGATGTGTTGTGTTCTACTTTATATTATTATAAAGTGTTGTCATGATGGTGTCATCACTTACGTGCTTCATAGAATACTACTAGTTCTTGGTCGCAACCTAATATTTTGTCATGTCAGGACTTCATAATAAACCCAAATATTAATAACAGGCCTCACAACAAACCCTAGTAATACTACTGGAGTTATAAGTAACCCCAGCATAAAACTAACATAGTTGTCTTCGTTTGATAAAATAGGTTAAACTGATGCCTTTATTTACCAAGTTTTGAAGCTGTCCTTCCCCAAAAAGGCCAAATCATAGGGAGTTTTATACAAGCAACCCTAAAATAGATAGACAGATTCGGGTACCCCTACCCCGTAGGGCAATAAAATTTAAATCCCATTGTCCAACTATTCTGCTGTATAGCATCCAGGGGTGTAAGTAAGCCGAGCTAGCTCGAGCTCGAATCGTTTATGAGCTTATTGAGCTTAACGAGGCTCAGCTCGCAAACTGACTCTAAATTATTAAATTTAAAATAATAATAATAATAATCCATGCGTGTGTTTTAAATTTTCGCTTGCTGCAAATTTAAAATCCCGCGCGCATTTCAAAATTTCTCAAATCCTGCCTGCTTCTCAAATCTCAATCATCTCTCTCTCTCTCTCTCTCTCTCTCTCTCTCTCTCTCTCTCCTTTGACATGCCACTATAATAAATCTCTCTCCTTTGACATGCCACTATAATAAATGCTAACAGCCTAACACTCATTCTCTCTGACAAATAAAAAAAAACTGCTCAAATCTCAATACCCTCTCTCTCTCTTCTTGTTGCTCATATCTCAATACCCCCTCTCTCTCTCTCTCTCTCTTGTCCTCCCGTTGTAGTTGTAAAAGACCGGGAATTAATTTTTAAAGGACTGCACGTGTTGGAAGGCAAACCGGACCGCGTAGGAGGCTCGATGAGCAGCTCGATCTCATTTATGGTGGAACGAGTCGAGCTCGAGCCTGATTTTTGAGCTCGACTCGAGTTCAAGCTCGAGCTCGGTATTTAACAGGTTGAGCTCGACTCAAACACCCCCGACTCGAGCTCGACTTAGACTTGTTTTCACCCCTAACAACACCGTAGCAAGTCAATATTTTACTCAATTCTGCCTAAAATAAGTATTCGTCACGTCTAGTAGTTAAAGGCTTAATCAAATAAAATATCACCAAAGATAATTGCCTGTCAACTAAGCCTTAGAACAGATTTGGATCACAATGGGAAATAAAAATTTAAATTCCATTGGCCAAGTATTCTGCAGTACAGCACCGTATCAATAGGTTACCCGATAATAGGTATTTATCATATGGCTAGTTTTTTTGGGGTTATTATGCCAACATTTTAAGGCTTTAGTTGACAATCAATTTTCCCCGCTAAAATTTAATCAATTATTTGTTTAGTGTAGAAACTTTTAATGACAGTTATGGATGTGATAAACACATAAATGCCAATCTTTAGGTAGAAACACACAGATCCATCATAAGGCTTTAAAAAAATAAATAAAAATGAAAAAATAGCAAGAACAAAGCATTGAATAACTTGGGGATAGTTTTACCATTTCTTCATATCCTCCATAATTGCCGTAGCTCCTCTAAACATCTGTACAAAGAATTTTTTCATAAAATGACCCAGCTTATTAACAAAAAAAAAAACTATCAACAGTAAAATTGAATGGACAATAAATCAACTCACAGTAGAACCACAATCTCCATCACCGACTTTACTATCCCATTCATTCAGTTGGTCCCTTAGACTGATTATTTCATTTGCAGCGGCTCTGATAGCAACTTCTAGAATGCCACCCTGTTCACTGAGCTCTTGTGGTTTAGCAAACAACTGCAGCCATATTCAGGAAAGGGAGTTAATGGGAGGGTACTCAACAAACATGAAGAAGTAACCTTAAAAAGCAACAAACAAGCAGTGTATAAGATAATATCTTCAACCTTTACAAAAGAGACCTTGCTAATTCATACCTCCACATTTGTTTCTATCTTAGATGGCGGAATAGGAATAGGTATTTTAGCAGGAGGGCGGTCTCCTACAACAAATTAGAGGTTCGTTGTGTGAATTCACTGGTTAAAGAAATGAACAGAACGCAACAGTAAAATCAATCTATTCCAATCTGCAGTAAAAGACTGAGCTAAGAGATTAAGACAAAGTTTTCTTCCTATATAGAAAACAGTGTTAGAATCACTTCCAAACTTCCAGTTGATATAACAGTATGTCAAACCAGTCAGCAATTGCACCAAAATGAAGAGTACATAACAATGCAAGAAAACAAGTGCAAGCACAGATATTCACATACATCGTTTTGGAGATTTATGCCACAAATTAACTTTCCACTATAAGGTAGTTGCAATTATATTGATGACAGAACTAATATCATAATATGCCATGTTGAAAAAGGAAAATCTACTGGTGAAATTTGAGAAATCTCCAAATTCCTTTCAAGCAAGATGAAAAAAGACTGGGTTTAACTTCTGCCATGCATTTTGTGAAAAACAAGAACATTAAACATGTGACATTTTAGTGTGAGATGAGCAGTGTACATTCAACTACTTAGTGGAAGTTACGCCCATCATTTATAAAAGATTAGCACAGGTAAACAGATAAATACTTCTTTTCTTTTGCAACAATATAGATCTTTGATGCGGGCAGAAAAATATAGGGGAGCCTATATCTCATGAACCCACATGGAAAAGGAAAAGGAGACACAAGAAGAAGGGAATTACTTAGAGATATTAGAACAAACTCTTACATTTCAAACCTAAAATAAACTTAGAAATAAAAGACTTACAACTCTTTAAAATTTAAACGACTAGCAAACAAAATGACACCCTAAAATTGCTTCACAATTAGAAGAAGGATACAGGTGGAATGGCACTTGCAGAGAGACGAAAGAGATTAGAAGCCGAGAAGAAAGGTTGGAAAGAGCTCGCAAGATTTCTGGAGGGGATGAGAAAGAAGACGGACAAAGCTCGCAAGCTTTTCCAAGCAAACCCGCAGGTTATAGCTTTTCCAAAAATAACATTTCATTCACTCCTTTAAAACATTGCAAGCCCCTCATATTTATAGGTATGAAAGGGGAATACTAAAAGACACAAACATTGAATTCTCATTGGAATTCCAAACATCACAAACCATAAAACCCTATTGCTTTTCATGGAAGAACAGCCCAAGCCCAGGAACCAAAGGAGCAACCACGGGAGCCAAGGAGGCCGCACGGAACCAAGTGCCAAAGCCCAGGAAAACTCCCAGGCTCGAAAAACCAGCAGCCGGCCGGAAATCCAAGGGGCAAAGGCACGAAAACAACAACCCATGGTGGAAGCCAAGGAGCCACGGCATAGAAAAATGAAACAACTTTTTTTGGGATTCCAAAAGCCCTTTTTGGATCCCAAGAGACGTCATAAATAAAAACAATAAAAAACTATAGAAATAACATTTAATAAAAAGATAAATATGAACTAAAATGTTAGCTAATAATGAACCAACCCTTAGTTCAATAAGTGAACTAAAGACCAGCTCATAAATGAGCTAAAATTTCAGCTCAATTTTGATTGAGTTCGTAAACTCGAGGGAGGGCAAAATTGATTTATTTTGGACATGAGTTGATCCCCCTTTGTCTACATCAATCTTAAATCCTTAACAGAATAAAATTCTCATCTGGGAAAAACCTTCTCATCAATACAAAAGAAAAATTATATAATAGAATGCAAAATTAAAAAAATAATAATAGAAAACAAGCAAAAACAATAGTTTTTATTATAACAAGCAAATCAAAGGAAGAAATAAAGAAAAATACAATTGAACCTCAATTCAAGAGGAGGACCGTTCTCTTCCAATCCCTAGACGAATCTAAGGGCCCAAAACACCAAGAACAAGAACTTAAAAATCAGCCACAAAATAAAGCATAACCCTAACCCTAAACATCTCCTCCCATTTAATACACAAATTCAAATATTTCATTCAAACTTTCCCTCCAACCCTCACCACCCCCTCCTTCCTTATTGATTTTCCTAGTGGGGTCCACAAGGAGCTTGGGCGGCAATCCCTAGGGCCGGATTGGGCTTGGCCCGCCTTCTATAAGTGAGAATCGGCTCATTGCTATGGGCCAGCTGGGCCGGTTCAGTAGAAACTGGCCTAACAATACCGCCCTCCCAAAGAACCACCTTGTCCTCAAGGTGAAAAGAAGGAAACTGATGCTTCACCCTCTCATAAGGCTCCCATATTGCATCATAATCTGAGAGGTCCTTCCCCCTAATCAATACCTCCTTTACCCCTCCTTCCCCTTGGAGCACCCTTGTAACTCAAGGGGTTCCAGTATCACCTCCAAGTCCTCTGTTAATGTCACAGGTAGCTAGGAACTGGCTACATGCTCCCTAATTGCTCTCCTGAGTTGTGACACATGAAAAACAGGGTGTATGGTTGCCGTTGAAGGAAATTTTCGCATGTATGCCACCTTTCCAATCCTCTTCAGTACCTCAAACGACCCTAAATACCTTGGTGCAAACTCTTCATTCCTTCTGTTGACGACAGTCCTCTGCCTGTAAGGTCGGAGTTTTAAGAATACCCTTTCCCCCACCTCAAATCAGATGTCCTTCCTATGCTTATCGGCCTGTTTCTTCATAATCTGTTGGGCCCTCAATAAACACCTCTTTAATTCTTCCAATACCCGCTCTCTTTCTTTCAAATACTCCTCTACTGAAGAAACTGGGGTGATTTTATGCCCAAAGTGCACCAAGTGAGGAGGTTCCCTTTCGTACAACACCTTGAATGGGATCATCTAAGAAGCAGAATGATATGAAGTGTTGTACCAATATTTTGCCCGTGCCAACCACTTGGCCCATAGCTTGGGTGTCTCCAACAAAAAGCATTGTATGTATGTTTTCAAGCTTCTGGTGACCACTTATGTATGACCATCTGTCTGAGGGTGGTAGGAAGTGCTCCTCTTCAGTACTATCCTCTATAGTATAAATAACACCCTCTAAAAATGGCTAAGGAACACCTTATCCCAATCTGATACTATAGACTATGGTATCCCATGCAAGTGAACCATCTCCCTGATAAAAGCTAATGCCACTGTCACGGCGGTGTAGGGATTGTTTGATTAAAAAATATAGTTTTGAAAAAGTATTAATTTTCTTTGGGCAAGTTAAAAAGTTGAATTTTAGTTTTGGAATCGAACACGACATTAAGAACAATATAATGTCTCAAAAGGAGAATATCATTCACTAATTGGTTCAGATTACAAAACTTTAACTTTATCCTTATTATCGTAGTCAAACTCAAGAAAGAATCACATTTGACCCCGAAGGATCAAAATAAAATTTAATCGAGTGTTTGACTATGCTAATATGGATTAAAGATCATTAATTTCTTAATCAAAACGACGATAATAATTGGTATATCTCTCCGAAGAAAGAAGATATCAATCATTATCGATCGTCTGAAAAAGATGATAATGATCGTCGGGTTTGATTTTCCCAAAGAGAATTAATTGAGGTTTTGAAAAATTGATTTTGAAAATCAGGTCTGGGTTTCTAAATCTCCTACGAGCGCAAGCCCTCGTAGTTAATAACGTAGGAAATCGGAGTTTTCCTACGAATACTCTCGATTAAAATAGCGATAGAAATTTTATTTAAGAATTTCAAAGTTGGATGTCAAAGGAAGTAAAGGTTGGAATTTTCAATTAGAATTGGGTCAAATTTGAACACTTATTTCTGGAGTCAAAGGAAGAGGGGTAGGAGGCGTTTTGGGATTCAGAATTACTTCAGAAACACCTCAGTCTATCCTAAGTGTTGAGCTTGACTTTGATTAAAAGTAATTTAAGTTTGAAAGGTCAATTTTATTAGAAAATTGGGATTAGATTCCCGGAGGTTGAGGTCTTATAGCCCGAGCTAGCCTCAGAACCTAAGTCTAAATTGGTCACTTGAAATTAGAACCCAACCTAGCTAATGCAGTGCAAATCTGGTCTTACCCCGGCCTGGATTGGGGAGCCAGCTAAACCACCTAGGCGCTTTTAAAATTATGAGTCCGGTCTTTTAATGTTGATGGTAGGATGTTATTTAAGAAAAGTTGAGAAGTTGGGGCCGACATCTAGAGCAGATCCTAATTGGCCCCTTAGACTTATATTGGGTGTTTGATGCTTAAGCTAGAAATGCAATTAAATGTTTTAGAAATTTAATTTGTTATTAATCTAATGCATGCTGATCGACTCAATTGATACTTGAATTTGAATAAAGGCTATGAAATGAGAACTCCCGGCGGTCCCGGGCTTACTTCTTAAATTCGTTAAAATTTTTATGTGAGCCTAAATGTTTTAATTTGATTTAAGTAGAAAAAGTTTTAATAAGTCCTTAAGATCCTACGATCGAGTTCCAGGCTAAATCAAAATCGACATGCAAGAATTGCCAAAAAACTACAAAAAGCAAGCAATCCTATATCGCAATCAACATCAAACATTAATCAATCAATTAATTAATATTCAAATTGAAAGTCCATAGGCAAGTGCCTTTTAATATTACATCTCAGAATTGCAAAAAAGTAAAGTGGCCGGGCACCACTGACAACAACCCGGATTTCTAATCTTAAGACTCAAGTGATTTTGAGATTTGAGATTCTTCTCGTTATCCACTTCTTCATCCTTCTGCTGCTTCTTGGATCGTCGGGTCCGGATATCCAAATGAAAAGAACTCCCCTTGGATGGGGTGTTATCTTTTCTCTTTGGATATTTTAAAATCATCCTAATTTGGAGCTCCAAATGGATAGGGACTCTCCCCCTAAGGGATGTCCATTCCTCTTTGAATTCAAAATTGGATGTTATCCCATCTCAATCACATTGAAATTACAACTCAAATCAAATCAATTTACATTAATCAAAATTGAAAATCTAGACTCGATCCGTGCAGGGTTATCCTAATAATCAGCAGTTATATAAATAATCTCAAGCAGTTAATATTTAATCTCAAGCAGTTAATATATTTGAAATTTAAATGCTCAACAGAGTGCAGTAAATAAATAAACAGACATTCAATCAAT